ACATACATTTCGTAAGTATATTAAATCTATTTCATATCTTAGATTCGTTAACTAAGAAGTTTAATGTTTTACAATTATATTTTTAGGTATCTTTTGAATGAATGTGARGAGGAGACATGTAAGAAGTTCTTGGTGGTTGACCCARACAAYATTGTACCACAAATAATGTSTCAAGAAACTTGTTCCAGAYATCTAGCCAAYAGGTTAGACATGGGTAACTTAGAACAAGTAGTACTCATCCCACATAACAGTGGGTAAGCTAGCAATTTAACTTCATTTTACTTATTTATAGTTTCTTTTATCCATGCATGAATGATAATCTTATCATGTTGGTTATTAATAGTTTTCACTGGAAGTTGTTTATTATACATCTCTGAGAGAATTGTGTTTATGTATTGGACTCTCTAAGAAGTGAGATTGAAGAAAATTATAAGGGAATCATAAACACGTAAGTGCCTTGAACTCTTATAGTTGAAATTTTTACAATTATGTTATTCTAATGTTTCAAATTATTTAGATTATTGAAAATGTGGCAAGCCAAACATTCTACTCAACAATCTCGCAGTACTACAATTTGGAAACCTGTGAAGGTAAATTTGCATAAATCATAACGATGTCGCAGTAAATCCTTTGTATAACTCATAATTTTGTTATTTTTCAAATTTTCATAGTGTCCTCGACAACTAGGTTCTATCAAGTGTGGGTACTATTTGCAAAAGTATATACGAGAAATAGTGCGGAACCCTCATGCTCCTATAACTGAAATTGTACGTATTATCATATACCTTTATGTGTCGATATATGATTTGTCATTATATTAGAATTGTCTTTCTTTTTCTTTTTTGTAGTTTAATACAAAAAGTGTCTATCAACAAGAAGAAATCGACGAAGTTCGAATAGAATGGGCATCTTTTGTTGGACGATTTGTGTAGTACCTATGGATTCATTAGTTGTGTTTATTTGATGTAATTATTTGGTTCAGACTACTTTCTGTGTAGTACTTGGTAGATTAGAAATACTTTGTCTTGTTTATAATATATAGAAGTTTGAATGGTGTATATATGGTACTGCATAACATATTAGTTTGGATTATTATAGAAGTATTTGACTGATGATGCTGAATGTGTTGGATTGTTCTGTTTATAATATATAGAAGTCTGGATTCTTATGCTGAATGCAGTTTTGTTGGAGGGACGAGCGGTCCCATTTGTTCTTGTGTGGAAGGGTGTTAATATAGAAGTGTTTGTTTTGTTTATAACCATGCTAGTTTTGAGTTATTCTAAAAGTGGAGAGGTTATGTTGAAATTTGTACTTTTGATTATTTGTTTTTTGAGTTTAAGGTTAGTTCTTGAGTTAAGTTTTAGAAGATGATGATGTTGAAATTAGTTTTACTTGCCTATTAGTTTTTGAGTTTCAATAATATTGAGAATTATTTCGTGAGAATAGGTTGGAAGGACATATATTGGTTGGTTAGTTTTGAGTTATATTCTAAATTGGAGAGGTCATGATGAAATTTGTACTTACTTTTGATTGTTTGTGTTTTTGTTAAGCTTTTATAGAATAGGTTGGAAGGGAAAGATATGTTGTGGGCTAGTTTTGAGTTATTCTAAAAGTGGAGATGTTATGTTGAAATTTGTACTTTTGATTATTTGTGTTCTGAGTCTAAGGTTAGTTTTTGAGTTAAGTTTTAGAATAGATATTGTTTTATAACGGATGAATGTGTTAAAAGTTTTAGTTGCATATTGAGATACTATCATAGGTTTGAAGGAAATATATATAGTTGGTTAGTCACGTATGGGCAACCAAATATTTTTTTAATTAATTTATTCACAAAATAATGACGGTCAATGCCTGTCACGAAATATAGTCATTCCATGACGAACATACGATGACGTACAAACAATGACGCACATACAATGTCGGTTGTCACCCGTCATGGTTATCATTTCATGACGGGCATTTTCGTCATGGAAAACGCTATACATGACGGGTGTTGCCCGACCTTAAAATAGTCCTTTCATGACGGCCATGTCCGGATGGAAAGAGAATATACATGACGGGCAATGTCCGACCTTAAAACTGTCCGACATGAAAGGGAAACAAGGACACTCGTATAGATGTCGGTCAGTGACCGATATGGTTACTATTTAATGACGGGCAATGCCCGTCATGAAAAGGCAAATTTGTTGTAGTGAGTAATTATAGGGGTAAATGATAATTTGACCAAACTTTAATTATGAATGACTCGTGAATGATTGACTTACTTGTAATGACTATATCCATGGACACAACATATTCTACAATGCATAAGAGTGCAACTATGAGTCTTTAGTAGAGTGTCCCATAATTAACGAATGTTGATTAATTTAATTACTGAGTTTACTTAATTAATCTCGGATCATTGGACCTTATAATCTGTAGGTTTATTTGGTCCTCTTACTAGCTTACACTGGATAAAACGATGATCATGAGATTTGAAGTGTTCAAATTATATAAGGAAATGTAGGTTAATTGTATAGATACAATTAACCACAACGTATCTGATACATTATAATTTTGAATAAGATTAGAAATTAAACTATATAATATGAGAGATTTATTTGAATAAGATTCAAATAATAATTAAAGATGTGAATTGGATTCATATTAAAATTATAGCTTAAAATTAATTTGAATGAGATTCCCATTAAAATTATAGATCATGGCTTAAAATTAATTTGAATGAGATTCCCATTAAAATTATAGATCATGAGAGATGTGCATTTGAAGTTGATACAAATATATGCTATTGATTAAATATATAATATTTAATATAAATTAATTAATGATTAAGTATTTAAATAATTAATTATTATTGAATTTAATTTAATTAAACAACCCCATCAGAGATGAGGTTATCTCCCCTCCTGTCTAAACGCGAGAGTTCTGCATCTGAGGGAAAAGTTTTTTCCTCTAACTTTCTCAAATCTCTACAAGAAAATTCTCTCCCTTTCGAAAAAGTTCGCACACAATTGGTCCTCAGAATAACGAGGAATACTTTTTTGGTGGCGTTGGATTACTGTGGTTTTTAAGATATTCTTCAAAGGTACTTTTTTCACCTTTAGTTTTTATCTTTTTTTTCTATACTTTTCAAAAGGAAAAATCAAAGCAATGCATTCACACGCTTCCACTATGGGATGCGATCCCTTCAATTGGTATCCAAGCTAATCTTCTTTTTTTCTTTGAACGGTATAGAAAAGAATAGTAGGTATTTTTCCTGCATTTGATGTATTGGGATTTGCAAAATAACGTTTTCGATTTTTGGCATTTAGATTTACAAGTTTTATGATTTGGTAAATGTAAGGGCCCATTGTTTTGGACATTTAATTTTGTAAATCGAGTATGTAAGTCTGCGTCGTTTGTGGCAAATTCATGTGAAATTCGTCAAAAAAATGAGCAAAAATGGACAAGAAAGCAAAATCCCAAGAGTACAACGTTGAGATGTTGTAATAGTAGCATTGAGACGTTACACAGCGTTAAGATGTTGTAACATTAGTGTCTCAACGATGTGCCTATATACACGAAGTAGATGGTTTTTTTTTTCCGAGCGAGATGGGGTCGTGGGAGTTGTTTTGGGACTTTTTTTTGTTTTTTTATATTAATTAAGTTAGTATAGTATGGTTATATTAATTTAATTAATCTTGTTTAGTATGCCAAAAATTGATCTATTTTACTATTTAATTATTATGCATTGTGAATGTATGATTAATTCAATATATGTTGCGTGATAGCATGACATATATTCTAAAATCAAATTTATTATTACATATTGCATTTATATACATGTATTAACTATTATTATATAACTAATAAATATTTAGGACTATTATTTATTGTCATTTTCATCTCTCTAAACTTTTTTTTAATTTAAATAGTAATGCAGTTTATTTCTTTAAAAATAAAATAAATTAAGATGTAAAATTTTGATATAACACAACTCATTGATAACTTTTTGAAAAATAAAAATATTTTTATAAAAAAATAAAATAAAAACACAAATTATAAAAAACTCAAGAATTTGGTTTGATAAATATTTAAAAAATAATTTATTATATAAGCTAATTCAAGCCCGATCCAAAGTATCAATCCAAGTCCGATCCAACTTCTGCTCATTAAATTAGGCGCATTGATTGAGTCATGGGTCTAGGTTTTAGTGGTTGGGTTGAGATGGTCGAGGCTCATATGACTTGAGCCTGGGCCGAGCTCGAGCCTTTTATTTTTGGGATTAGACCTTTTAGATATGATAATTACATAAAGAGATTTATTCAACAAAATTTACACTTTTGTATTAAAACAGACTCATTTAAAATGGAACCCACAATCATTTTACCAATATACCCTTTTTTTATATACATTTAATTATTATTAAAATATGGAAATTGTTGAACAATTTATGTTTCCTTTGTGCAAGTGTACACAACCGTTGTAGCAGGTGATTAAAAGATCATATCCACAAGGATTGATAATTAAACACTTTAACAAATATTTAAGAAAACAAACACATTAACAAAAATGTTTTAAACACGAAAAAATAAACGAATTCAAATAAAATAGTGCATATATGATTTGCTGAAGAAAAACAAAACATAACCAAACATAACTAAATCGATTAACGGAGAATGTGCAGATAAGAGGTTGACTACTGGTTTTTAAAGGGTAGGGGGAAGAGTTTGACCTTTTTTGGGCTTACATACATGTTGATGCAGCATTAGTGATGATAAAATATTGGTCAAACAGAAATGGAGTCTTCTCAAACTTTCCAGATTTTCTACTATTCAGGTTTTTAGACAAACTCGACAGCATATCAGCTCAGTTTATAACCTTGCTAGGTGAGCTCTATTCCTAAGTACCCATACTCTAACTAAAGTAGATTTAGTACAAGTTGAAGCCAAACACCCCCTATTACAATTTTCCCAGAGTTAATAAGAAAATATCTCAATATGTTGATCAAGCATATTGAAAATAAACTACTAAGAACAACTTTAACTCAATATTATTCATCATTAACATCAACAACACAATTTACAGTCCAAGAAAAGAATTCACAACATCTTCTCCCTTATAATGGAGTTTAGCTTCGCATAGTCATAAAAAGAAAGAAGAAAATCAACAAGAGGGAACACAATACAAATGGAACCAAAGGTGAGGAGTAGGAGTTGAAGGATTCAGCTCCAAATGGGTTCTCTGCCCTCTGTCTGCAAAAGCTTCAGTGAATCTTTTTCTGTTCTTGTCTACTTCAAACACCGTAAGAACTTTCTTAAAGTGAGAGTGAAGTGATAGTTCAAAAAGTATGTGGAGGCTTCCTTAAATGTGAGTATTTATACCACTTGATTTTTAGGGCAACAAACAGATAAAGTGGGCCCCCAACTCTCACTTTCAGGTGATTCTGCTAGCAAGTGTGGTAACTCCCAAGGTAAAGTCCTATCACTGTCAGATTTATCATTTTCTGCTCATTTTATTCCAATGTTGTAACATCAACAATGTTGTAATAAAATATCCAAAATTATGTCATTTTCCTTAAATTTCAACATTATCAACAAAATTTGGAGAAGATAACAAAGTCATGCAATCTTTGTACAAAATCAATGTAGAATGTGTGCTAGAGAGACTTTCCTTAGCTAATTCTCGTGAGATTTTAATCTCAAATAACTCT